CTTCCACTCTGTGAAAAAGCTTTCTTACAGACTGAGCAGCTGTGTGCTTTCTCTCCTGTGTGGATTATCATGTGTCTCTTTAAATTTCTACTCTGTGAAAAAGCTTTCTCACAGACTGAGCAGCTGAATGGTTTCGTTTCAGCACTACGTCGTGGATCACTGACAGATTCATGTCTATTTTTCAGTGAGTTTGAGCCTGATGCAGGTTCTCTGGTCTCCTTCCAATCAGCACTGTCTTCAGTGTCAGGTTCAGAAGAGTCTTCAGTGTCAGGTTCAGCAGTGTCGTCCTCAGTCTTTGGTTGTGAACTGCTCTCTGGATCTGAGTTACTGGCTGGTTCTGGTCCTCGACAGTCATCTTCATCAGCTTCTGTTTCCATGTGTTCAGTTTGTCTTTGATGAGGCTGTGAAGACTGAGGTTTCTCTTTATCATCTTCACTCTTCACAGGGTCAGGAGTGAAAGTGGACTTGGTGATATCAGCCTCCTCCAGCTCCTGAAGCTGCTCTCCCTCCTGACTGATCCTGAGTTCCTCCTGTTCCTGCTTAATGGGCGCTGGGTCCTCCTGGTCCAGACTGGTGCTCCACTCCTGCTGGTCAGGGAGAACCTCTTCTTTAACCTTCACCAGCTGCTGGACGTCTGCAGGAAACAGGAAACACACAGTCAGAAAAAACGGTTAAGTGTTAGCATTTAAAAATCTAATCACCATTAAAATTGGAGACATTTTGCAGCCCTAATTAATGCATTTGTTTTTATACTTTAATATTATCTTTCTTAGTCCCACCTATTGTGTATTTTTGTTGGCTCAATTCACCTTGTGTAGCCCAGCCCCTTTCAACTTCCAGTTAAAAATGAAAAGGGGTTTTTTCTTCTGGTTTACCACTAGCTGCAATGTAAACAATGAATTGTATTTGGGATTGTTCACAGCTACACTACGCCTATAGAATAGTAATACTAAAAATATATTGTAGGGCCATACCTATACAAAACATGACTGTGACGTTTTTTGCTTAAAGTGGACCTATCATGCTATATTTGAATAATATAGTGTAGGACCATACCTATATAAGGCATATTTATACTTTTTTTTTTTCAAAATACCAAACAGATCATGCATTTTAGCCATGACTCATTTCGCTCAATTTGAAAAATGTTAGCTGTTTTTGCAAGGGCTGAGACACCACTGTGACGAAAATAGTCAACTTGTATGAAGTCCAAAAAGTGAAAGTAGAGGAGAATTTGAGGAAGACTTCCACAGTTGCGCTCACCGGAGACTATTGGACTTCACTGAGTAATGACAGTTATCTCGGGGTCACAGCGCATTATTTTGACCCACAGTGGGAACTTCAGTCTCATGCCCTGACTGTTATGAAGACAGAGTAGCGGCATTTCGCAGACAACTGCGCGGAGCACTTTATGCAGGTAGCCAGACAGTGGGACATTGTACCAAAAGTCAGCACACTCACCACGGATAGCACACGCAACATGATTGCAGCGTCCAGGCAGCTCCCGTTCCAGCATATGCCTTGCACAGCACATAGTCTACAACGATCCATCACAGTGTCTCTCCAGGACAGTCCGTTTAACAGCGCATTGGCAAAATGCAGAAAGGTAGTGGGTCATTTTAAGCATAGCCCGCCAAACGCAGCAGAGCTCGAACAAAAGCAAATTGAAAGTGGTAAAAAGAAAGAGTCACTCACACAGGACGTGATAACCAGATGGAACAGTACACTGGAAATGATCAGATGTATTCTGAGAAATCAACAACCTTTGAGAGATGTGCTGGCCCTACAAACAACTGGCTAAACTGCAGCAGTTGGAGACAGTGCTGGAGCCCTGCAGGTACTTTATTAATTAGAAGTGTGTGTGTGTGTGTGTGTGTGTGTGTGTGTGTGTGTGTGTGTGTGTGTGTGTGTGTGTGTGTGTGTGTGTGTGTGTGTGTGTGTGTGTGTGTGTGTGTGTGTGTGTGTGTGTGAAAGAGAGCAAGAGAATGTGTGTGTGAATGTAACAAGCTCCTAACTGAAGTGCTTTCCTCTATTATTGCAGGTACATATCTGATCTTCTTGGAGGAGAGAAGTTTGTTTCATGCTCAGTGGTGCTGCCTGCTTTGTGTCATCTATCGAGAGTGATGGAGTCCTCTGAGGATGACCCAGCCTACATGGTGACATTCAAGCAGACCTTCAGAACAGACATGGAGAAACGCAAGGACAAAACAAACATTGCATGGCTGAGAGTTGCGACAGCGCTGGATCCTACGTTTAAGGACCTGAAGTGTCTGTCCAGACCTGACAGGGCTGAGGTGTGGCATTCGATCACTGCCTTACTCAGGGGGGAGAGGCCTGCACAGCCGGAACAACCAGAACGACCAGCGACGTCTGAGCCACCTAAAAAGAGATTAGCTCTCATGGTTGCCCCAGAGTCTTCGTCTGATGAAGAGGAGGACTGTATTGAGACCTGTGTGGAGCGCTACAAGGCAGAGCCTACTATTGCCCTGGAGGACTGTCCTCAACAGTGGTGGTCCAAACATGAAGGGGCACACAGCAAGATGGCCGGCCTTGCACGCAAGTACTTGGCAACACCTGCCACATCCGTACCCTGTGAGAGATTTTTTTCATTGTCTGGGCATGTTGTTCAGAAGAAGCGAGCTGCCCTGTCGTCCGACAATGTAAACAGGCTTGTCTGTTTGAGCAACTGGCTCAGTGCGAAGAAGTAGACATGGTTGGGAGAGTGTAAGAGAGAGAGAGTGACCACACAGACAGACATGCGCCCTCTAAGGTACATTTAGAACAGATAAAAAATGTGCGATTAATTTGCGATTAACTACGGACAATCATGCGATTAAATATTTTAATCGACTGACAGCCCCAATATATATATATATATATATATATAAATTATATATATATATATATATATATATATATATATATATATATATATATACACACACAGTTTAGTTTATGATTCAGCCTTGGGTAAGACTTTTATAGTATATGGCTATGAAGCCCATAATGCTAAACGGGAGCAAATGTTAAAAGGGGACCCAATTATCCCAGTGGTGGCCGCCGGAGCTAACGGAGCCGCAGGGGGCTAGCTCCAGCCGGCGTCCCGGAGCCCCCTGCGGCTCCGTTAGCTCCGGGCGGTGGAGTCCGGCGTTATAACTGGAGATCAAGGAAAGCAGCAAAACGTTGTATGTTGAACAAGGCTTATTAAGCTGAACATCGCCACAATTGTTCTGCTATGTATCGGTACTTCTTTTATTTTATTAACGTGATGACAAGCATTAAGAATAACAAAAAATAGCTAATTCTCTTGCAGATAGTCTCGTTTGATTATGAATGTAACGTTGTTATATAGGGGAACTACACTGTTTTAACAAGTGCCACGCAGTAACTTGGTATGCATGTATTTCATGTTAGCTTAGCTTCTTAGCCTGAGCTAGCTCTGTTTACTTCCAGTTCGGAGGCAGCAGGCGGGAGTTAGACTCTGACGTCACTGTCGAGCCGTTAGTGGCCGACTCCGCCTACTAAGGGCTTCTCGGCAACTCTGCAGAATCCTATGGGTGACGTCACGGACACAGTTTTTTTTTCAAAATACCAAACATTTCACCCATTGTAGCCATCCCTCATACTGCTCAAACCCCTCTTTTGAAGCCCTGTTAGAGAAACGCATATTTTGGGTCCTTAGCTTGAAAAAAGAAAGAAGAGGAGGCAGAGCTAATGCCTGATCAGAATTCTACCGGAGATAAAGTTAAATTCAGTTGTGATAAAACGCCATCCTGTTTAAACCACGTCAAGGATTATTTCTGAAATAGTATGGAGCTCAAATGCTTTTTCTCTTGCAGGTTTATCACAAGGTGAGTTCTTTTTTTATTTCCTGCTTTTTAAAACACATGTGCTCTACAGTACAGGTTAGCTCTGAGTGTTAGCGAGGCTTGCTAATGTAAACAAAGACGTCCAAAACACGTCAGGCATTGTTTCTGATAGCAACTTGCTGTGGGTCCGCCGCCGCTATTACGTCACAGCGGATGGAATCTGTATCCGCTCGTTGTACACCCGTTTTTAAAAGATTTGGGTACGGAGGAAAAGAGAGAGGGTTTTATTTTATGACGCTGCGTGAGTTCCCAGGCGCACCGGGGACACATATGTATGTATAAAAGACATCACAAAGTGCATTTTGCATGATAAGTCCCCTTTAAGATATTCATTGCTATTGGGAATATAACAAAAAGTGTATCTCTTGCCGGTTTCTCAAACTTACCTACCCTACCTTTAAGTTAGAAGTTAGCAAAATGTAGGTAAATTAGGCTTGATACATTACATATGCTTTAAGAAAAAAACAGCCTACATCACAGCTCTCTATAGTTTCATGTATCTTGTTGGCAGCTCATCCCTTAAAAACAGAAGTCTCAGAGTGATTATAATAACATGAAGGGTCTATTTCAAGCTTGTTATGTAAATAAGTTAATAGGATTTTTTTTTGTCAACTAAGATTTGTTGAAAATGTTATCAACATGAATTGACTGAACTAGTGTGTAATATAGTTGTACATATATATTTTAGAAGTACAATATGAGAAAAGCACAAGTTTCATTTGTGGGCCATATTTCATTATACTTTTTGAATTAGCTGAGGGCCGGCCCCCGGGCCCTAGTTTGGACACCCCTGGTTTAAGAGTAAAGGGAACATACCTGCTCTGTGTATCCGAAGCTGAGGCTGTAAAACAGCGTCCAGTAGTTTCTGGAGTCTCTTGTTCTCCTCTTTTGAACGAGACAGCTCCTCCTCGTACTCTGCTATCGTTTTTTCAAACAGAGCAAATATCTCTTCAGTAGTGAGTCGCTGCTTCTTCAACGACAGCAGCATTTGGATTTTACTCATGTTTACTAAATCACCTTTTCCTGCAAACTCCGTTAAACACACTGTTTCTTTCTCTCCATCAAACTCTCAATCTGACTAGAGTTGCCAACGTGTTTCCAGCTAGCATGCTAAGCTAGCTCCTTATAGAGGCTTTGCATATGACGTCACGGGTAACGTGACATCAGCCCAACGGCCATACTGGAGTACCAAAACAGACACCGTAATACGTCAGCGCTGTTTTTTTACCGGACATATAATGGTTAACTTCTGTGCCATTGTTGGCTGCGGCAACAGAGGTGATCGAAACAGGGGGCCGAAGTCATTTTACAGGCTGCCGGCGGTTATAACACACCAGGGTGAAGCAACACATGAACTTTCAAAGCGTCGCCGGGAAAAATGGCTCAATAGGATCGGACGGGAGGATCTCAAACCATCCAACCACAACTATACTCGCGTTTGTGGGGATCATTTCACGTCAGGTAAGTGTCGGGTTTTACATACAAACATTCAAAATGAACATATAACCCACGTACTAAGACATGTATCTTAACAAGGAAATAAGAATCCTGGAGTCTGTCATCGATCGACATATCAGATTGTGGAGTATCTACAAAGTAAAGTCATCCCTTGGCTCAGGTCATCTTCACACCAGTCTGTCAGTCCCCTGCAGTGCTTCGTTTAACTGTAATTTAAAGTAATTCCTCCCCCTACTGGCCATTTGATTATATGTAAACAGTAAAGGCTGTACAGTCCCTGGCACCTTTTCAGAGGCTTTTGGTTTCCTCAATTATTTGTCATGTTCCTATGTCTTGACACCAGCATTTTAAATATATCTAAAGTCTGACTTCGCTTGTCAAAAAGGTCAAATTTGTATTAATTAACAGTTCACCCAGGATATAACTGACCTACAATCTGATTTATTTGCAGGTAAACCAGTGGCACTTTTTGACAAAAATCATCCTGACTGGGCACCGTCTGTCAAATTGGGCCACGAGAAAATTACAGCACCTTCGCCTGCTACACATGCCAGGTATAAACGCGCCAGAAAAAGGTCATCCATCGCACTACTTGATCTCTACAGCATGGTATCTGATATACCATCTCTAGAAGAGCCCGCACCAGTCCTGGGAGCCACTGGGGAAGAAGAAGGACTGATTGAACCAGAGACTGGCACTGCAACTCAGACTGATTTGACTGGTGAAATGATTGACAAAATGTCATTTGAAATTAATAATGTAACAACAGAAAATGTTAACTTAAAAGAAAAGCTTGTAAAGTCCACCATTTCAGAGAGTACATTTAAGGGCGATGATGACCATGTGCGGTTCTACATGGGACTTCCTACTTTTGCTATTCTAATGACGGTATACAATCTTGTGGAACTGCACATCAGTGTGAACGCTAAGAGTTCACTGTCTACATTTCAACAGTTTATACTGACACTAATGAAATTAAGATTAAACCAACCCCTGCAAGAGCTGGCTTATAAATTCAACACATCCACGTCTACAGTATCCTGAATAATTTGTGTGACACTGTAATACCCGTTGATTGAGCCTTTACATTCTGTTACACCCCAATCAACCCATATCAGATTAAAAAATATGACATGTTTGTATTGTAATTAGTATTACATTATTGTCAATGTTGTACTTCGTCAATTAAATGTCTTGATAATCAGAGCAGTGATTTGGGGTTTGGTTGTGTAGGGGAATGTTTGAAAAAATATTTAAGCTGTTTTCAGGCATGGAAGATTAATGTTTTTCTCTCAAGTTTTCTATTGTCAGATTGGACACATCCCAAATTGCTTGAATGTGGTTTCAGACCTGCACTGCACACTGTAATAGTACTGGTAGAATATTTAAGCTTGGGTAAATACATTTTGAAAAAAACAATTGAAAGGGCAAAGTATTATATTTATTACAGGTTTCCAATGAAAAAGGGTGAAAAACAAGTACATGCTCCTTTAACTGTAAGCTGCAGAGATCACCTCACATAACAGAGATAGATTAACATTGTGTCCATATTACGGTTTTTTTCAATGCTAAAACACATTTTTTTAAAGCAGGGCTTATTTTCTCAAAACACTAAACACAATTCACAAAACCATACACACAAAGTGCAAAACACCTACTGCAGAATGAAGCACTGCACCCAGAACTACAGAAACACCAAACTTTTGCACCAAATGGCACACACTTCATTTATAGTACAAGACATTTTGTAAAACCAACTACACACCATCGTGCTCAAGCACACTCATCTTTTATGGCGTTTGATATAGAGAATTCTGCAAATAAAGATTGTTCAAGTCTCCAAAATATGTGCAGAAACACAAATATACTGTTGTTATACTTTTACTTTTCAAAAAGTGGAAAGTTGAATTGCAAATTGGGTGCAGAGCTGAACATGTGTTTAGAGTTTTGGATATTTGAGCTGAGGTTTTGCACTTTCAATGTCAGTTTAAATAATGATGCTTTGTGTCATTTTAGTGTGCACAACTTTTTTTGATTGTTACACTTACATGTTCTTTATATAGATTTGATGTAAAAGAAACATGTTTAATCAAATAAATATATACACTGTCATTCAGATTGATTAGTACTTCTGTTTCTTTTGAGAGGGGACATGCTGATGACATTTGTCACAATACCAGCTTCCTTTGGGGGCAACTGTTATACCAACACATTCAAAATGAAACCAGGTAGTTTCACAATTTGTGTTATCACATCCTATCATGGGAAGCTTTTCCTCTCCACGACAAAGGCACCACTTGGGTATCAGTGGTTGGGTATTGGTTGGCTGAGTCAGAGTGGCACATAGAGCAGGGTCTGGTATCAGGCAGAGAGGCCTTTTTGGTGCAGTAATGGAGACTGGTGTAGTTGCACTGGAAATTCTGGTGAAGAATTGCCCACTCAACTCGAGGAGAATGACCATCTGAAAGAATTCATGAGCTTTGGGGTATACCTTCTCCCAAAAGTCAATATCTGGGGTTATGCGTTCAAGATGAATCTTTCCATTCACCCACAGAACAAAGTCAGCATATTCAACATCACATATAAATAACTGGGTCTGCACTTGATAGAAATAGGCATGAGTCTTCTTCAGCCTGTCCTGTCCATCACGTGATTCCAGACATGTATGATCTGACGGTGCAGCAACACAGTAGGGGCATTTCATTTCCAAAACACCTACACCACAGCACTTGCAGGACACAACACCATCTGGAGTAGCACCTAAATATGGAAATGTTGGCGATAACACGAGCCCAGAGTCCTGGCAAATGAAACTGTCATGTTGATTCATAATTGTAATGTAATCTTCACGTGCTGATTTCTCGTGATTACATCCCCATTCAGTAGCTGCAGTTTTAAATTGTGTGGCTTCTGGGTAACAAATAGCTTTAATCAAGCTAAGCGATGGTTTAGTTGCACTTGTTGAACATGCTGCCTTCATACGAGATGCTGTAATCCGCCCAGCTCTGTATCGATACCAGAGTTTGGATTTGGCCTGTGTTTTTGTGGCCTTCTCAATTACATCCGCCTCCGGCTTGGTGATAGCTACATTGATCCCTTGGCAATGTTCTGTAAGGGCTTTATGGTCCATTTCTAGGCAGTTCTCACTTTTTAAACTAGAAAGCGGCTTAGGAAATGTTGACAAAGTCACTTTTGGGACAAAATCGGCATTGTGTGGAGCTGAGATTGTCAATATTGCACACTTCCTTCCAGTAGATTTCAGTGATGCCAGGAAAGACTGTTGCTCAGCATCTGTCGCTTTTGGAATCTCCCTCGAGTGACGTAAAAGTGGTGTTGTTGTTGTTGTTAAATTAGCTGCATCGCCAAGGCTGTCAATTGCTTGGCTTAAACGATTCCTTCGGGTTTTAGCCGAAGTAAAGTCAATGTCAGCAACAGGGGAAGGTGTTACATCCTTCACTGATCCAGGTAGAAGCCAATACGCCTTTTCCTGGGTAACTGTCTAGGCATCACGTATCCGTATAGATGTTTCTATGTAGAAAAGGAGAGATGCAACATGGGTACATGTTGATCCCAAACCAGCCTTGCAGTTGCAGTTAGCTGTGATGACTGCACCATCCTTCTTCATCAGTACCCACGGACATGTTGGCAGCAGCCCAATACTCTGAGAATGCAATACCTGAAAAATAAAATACAAAAATATTATTGATTGTTGACTTTTTAGAACCACCAATATTTTGGTCCAACTTTACTTTAAAATACTGATTGTTTACACAACCAGTGGGTGGTCAGCTCTTGTCATATTCCTATGCTAGGTAGCACATAACAGAAGCTGACAACCAAGAATAGGTTTACAACTTTTGTAATTTAAATATATTGCAATTAGGGCTGTCAAGTTAACGCGTTAATAACGCGTTAACGCAAAAAAAAATTAACGCCACTAATTATTTTAACGCGATTAACGCATGTGTATTTTTTGTCCTCGGCCGCCGTAGTTTCAGAGCGCATCGAGTTTAAAATACCATCTACAAGCTGATGCTGACAGCCCCGCTCCTGCTGCCCGCTTGTGGCAGACCACACTTCCACGCTCACCGGCAGGCCCGGACTGGCCATCGGGAGGACCGGGAGGGTGTGTGTATGTGTGGCGCGAGCGAAGCACACCTTACATGTTGTTGTTAGCATCTGGTGCTAGCTAGCTGAGCTAACGGATATAAGGAGCTGTTTCAATGAAAACAGAGGAGCGACATTTCGCCGACAACTGCGCCGAGCACTTGACTTTATGCAGGTAGCCAGACAGCACACTCAGCACGGATAGTGCGCGCAACACAGCTCATACACACAGGCATATATGCCTTGAGCTGCACATAGCTCCAACACACACACACACACACACACACACACACACACACACACACACACACACACACACACACACACACACACACACACACAGTATTGTATTATTGTATGAGAGAGGTTCTAGGTTGAATTGAGGCGAATATTTGTAATGTTCAGAGGTTGTTGTGTTTAATATTCATGAGAATATTTGTCATTGTTCAAATGATAATAAACAAACATATAAAGCATATTTGTCCACTCATATGTTGATAAGAGTATTAAAAACTTGAAAAATATCCCTCTAAGGTACATTTAGAACAGATAAAAAATGTGCGATTAATTTGCGATTAATCGCGATTAACTATGGACAATCATGCGATTAATCGCGATTAAATATTTTAATCGACTGACAGCCCTAATTGCAATATATAATAAAGCTTTATTTATAAAGCCCTTTTCATAAAGCACGTGTAGCTCAAAGTGCTTTACAAAATGGCACACATCACAAGTTAAAAATAAACCACAAGAAATTCCCCTCAGATCAGATGTTAAGACCTTTACAGGTACATAGCAACAACATATAACATTTTAACAGGTTAAGAGACACGAGGAGGTAAAAGGTATGATAATAAAAATAAATAAGACACAAGACTAAGTTAATTGATGCAACAATATAAAACCCTATAAAATAAAGTACAACAAAAGTAAAAGCTGGTGTTTAAAAATTTCCACTGAGTTGGCCTCTGATATTTCTTGGTAGCTAGTGGATAAAAGCAGCCTCACCCATTTTATTTTGGGGGACTTTAGGGATATTTAAAAAGCCAGCTGAAGAGGCCATCACGAAATATTTACTCACTTTTCCAGCTATTACAGCCACATCTCCTTGATATGCAACGCAAACGTCGCGGATCCACCCGGATGTGAACTGGTTATATGCCTCGAGTCCTTTGTACGCTTTCATTTCCTCCATGGTGTACAATGGAATAGGCGAAAAAAACAGGTAGTTCACGATATCACAGTAGGAAAGTGAAGGCCATGAATGTATATCAGTGCTGTAATCCTTAACGGGAATCAAATAAGGGTCCACCGAACCAATCGACGCACATTTTTCTCTGTAAACGGTCTTATCCTCCGGGTTTAGTGATTCGTAGTAGTCTTTCATTTTCGCCATTTTTTAACGCTC